GGCCCTCTAGGACCTCAACTGTGGCCCTGTGACTGAATCCAAACTTCAAAGAACAAATCCCCTTAATAATAGGATTTGTTCTGTAAAACTCGGACTCAGTCAAAAGGCTGCACTCAAGGACCTAGAAGGTGGGGAAGGCCACAGGTTCCCCAGCTGTTTTAGAACCAAAATTTGTTACTAAAAATCTGGTACATTTCTTGAGTATGGCATAAAGACAACCAGCCTGTTCTTGTTTCCTTTATATTGCTCTAAGTCAATAGGAGAACCTTAATTCAAGTTGAGGTGATGGAAACTTACTAGCAGGACTCAAGATATTTAAATTCAATGAGAATGTAGTAGGATGGTGATCCAGTATCCAATGGATCAGTACAGTTCATGTTAGATAACTGCCAATAGTTGGAATCTTGAAAGTATTTCAGGAGAAACCAAATATGCAACATTTAGAAGCCAGCTATGTAGCTCAAAATATACTATAGTTCTTTAATATGATACGTGGTCTAGTTTCCTCTTATTTCATTTATTTTTCTTTGAATCAATTTAATTATAGCATAATTATTTTAGATTAAGGCAATGAAAGCTTAATATAAGGAAACAGGATACTGAATTTCAATCCAGTTATACAAGTACTTCAGTAATCTTTAATTTGACACAATGCTCAAAATAAGATATCCCTGTACAATGATCAGAGTGGATATATTGCTGAGATCTGTCAGTCTAGAAGCATTTAATAAGCACTAAGTGTCATGAACTATGCCAAACCCTGGAATTAAAAGGTTCCTCTCTCAAGGACCTCACATTCTAGTGGTACAGACACTGTTAGCAACTATGCACAAATAAGAAATATACAAAGTAATTGTGGGGGTGGGGATAATCTTAGAGGCAAGGCATTAGGTTTAAGGGAGACTAGTAAAGGCTGCTTGCAAAAGGTCAAATTTTAACTGAGGATCAAAGGAAGCCACAGAAGCTAGGAGGTGGAGGCAAGGAAAATCTCAACCATGGGAAATAGTGAAAATACATGGAGTCAGAACATGGCACCTTAGATGAAGGAAACCACTAGGAGATCATAGAGTACATGATGGTGAATAAAGTGTATAAAGACTGGAAATGTAGAAAGGACTTAGGTTATGAGAGGCTGTGAAAACCAAACAGGATTTTATATTTGCTCTTGGAGGTAATAGGTAGCCACTGGAATTTATCAGATATGGCTTTGTCGTGGTTACACTTGTGTTTTAGGAAGATCACTTTGGTAGTTGAGTAGAGAATGGACGTGAAGGCAGAAAGCCATTCCAGAAGGTTATTATAGTATTTCACATGAGATGATTAGGACCTGCACCAAGATGGAGCAATGTTAGGGGAGTATACAAGAGATGCGTCAAAGGTAGAATTGATAGATTTGTCAACAGATTGGATATGATAGAAGGGAGTGAAAAAATGAGGAATGAAGGATAACTGAGGTTGTGAGCCTAGGTAACTAGGAGGATGGATGATACCCTCAACAGTAATAGAGAAATGAGGAAGAAGGGAAGGATTTGTTCAGTTTGGGACATATTGGGTCTATATGTCTATAGAGTATATAGTTTAAGATATCTAATAGAAAGTTGGAGATTGGAGATTTGAGGTCAGGAGATAGATTAGGGCTAGATGCATAGATATATCATTTGCATGTAGGTCTTAACTGAATCTGTGGAAGCTGATGAGATCACTAAATAAGGTAATATAGAGTAACAATTCTCAAACTTTTTGGTCATGGGAGAGGAATGACCACACCTCTCCATAGATCACAGCACCTTGGAAGCAAAAAAAACCATATAGGCCCCCAGAATTAGCTGTGAAAACAGCAGCTTGAAAAAGTCTGAAGCTTAGGACAGTCTTTTCCTCCACCTCTCCCTCCCCAGTGAGTAGAACCCAACTTTAACATAAAGTTCAAAGTTTAAAAAAATAGTCTGGAAAAATGACAAAACAATGAAAAAAGTAACCTGACCATAAAAAGTTATTGTCGTGATGGTGAAGATCAAGACACAAACTCAGAAGGAAACAACAATGTGAAAAGGGCTATAAGCAAAACCTCAAAGAAAAAAATTGTACACAAGCCCAACAAGAATTCCTGGAAGAATGAAGAAAGGGCAAAAAGGAAAAGATTTTAAAAATCCAAAAGAATGGTAGAGGAAAAATTGGGAAAATAAATGAGAATAATGCAAGAAAAATTATTTAAAGGGAATTACTTGCTTGGTAAAAGAGGTACAAAAAATACTGAAGAAAATATCACATTTCAAGACAGAATTAGCTCAATGGCAAAAGAGGCACAAAAATTCAGTGAGGAAAAGAACTCCTTGAAAAGTCAAATTGGAAAGTAGAAAGTAGAAGTGAAAAAAAGAGGACAAAATAGAAAAAATAATGCCTTAAAAATTAGAATTGCCGAAGTGGAATTGCCCAGTGAGACATTAAGAAATAATAAAACAATATCAAAAGAATGACAGGAAGAAAATGTGAAATATGTCATTGGAAAAACAACTGATCTGGAAAATAGATTGAGCACAAATCATTTAAGAATTATTACACTACCTGAAAGCCACCATAAAAAAATAGCCTAGACATTATATCCTAGAAGTTATAAAGGAAAACTGCTCCAATATCTTAGAACCAGAGGGTAAATTTGAAATTAAAAGAATCCAGTGATCACTTACTGAAAGAAATACCAAAATGAAAACTCCCACACAAATAAAAACAGATCTAAATTGTATAAGAAATAGAATGTTTGATCAATGGAACAGTTTAGGTAAACAATATATAGAAGCAAATGAACACAGTAATCTAGTGTTTGATCAACTCAGTGATCCCACTGGGGAAACTGGAAAGCAGTTTGGCAAAAACTGTACATAGATAAACATCTCACAATGTACACCAAGATAAATTCAAAATTGTCATGTGATTTAGACGTAAGGGTGATATCATGAGCAAATTAGGGGAATATGGAGAAAAATTACCTGTTAGATCTTTGGATAGAATAAGTATTCATCACCAACAAAGTAAAATGGATAATGTTAATTACATGACATTAAAAAGTTTTTGCACAAACAAAAGCAATGCAGCTAAAATTAGAAGGAAAGCAGAAAACTGGAAAAAAACATCTTGGAAGCAAATTTATCTTATGAAGGTCTTATTTCTCAGATATATATATATATATATATATATATATATATATATATATATATATATATATATATATATATATATGGAACTTAGTTAAATTTACAAGAACAAAAGCCATTCTCCAATTGATAAATAGTTAAAGGATATAAAGAGGCATTTTTCAGAGAAAAAAATCAAAGTAACCAATAGCCATATGAAAAAATGCAATAGATCCTTAACAGAGAAACGAAAATTAAAACAACTCTGAATTATAAACTCATACCCACCAGATTGTCTAAGATGACAAAAAGGATGGCAAATTCTGGAGGGGATGTGGAACAGTAAGTACATTAATGCACTGTTGGTGGAACTGTGAACTAGTCCAACCATTCTGGAAAGCAATTTTTCACTATGCCCCAAAAAGCTATTAAAACCTTTCACCATACCTTTTTACCTTAGATATTTGATCTATACCAGAGAGAGAGAAAGAGAGAGAGGGCCCATATGTACAAAAATATTTATAGCAGCTCTTTTTGTGTTAGCAAAGAATTAGAAACTGAAGGGATGATCCTCAATTGAGGAGTGACTGAACAAGTTGTGGTATGTGAACGTAATGAAGAAATTTTGCTGTAAGAAATGATGTATAGGATGCTTTCATAAAATCTGGGGCAGACTTGTATGATCTGATATAAACTAAAGTAAGTAAAACCAGGACAACAATTTATATAACAACAATATTGTAAAAACAGTCAACTCTGTAAGACTCTGATCAACCACACAATACTCTTTCAAAGAATTCATGATGAAATGTTATCCACCTCCAAAAAGTTAATTGATGGACCCAGAGTGGAAATTGAAGCATATTTTCTTCAATTTCTTTCTTTTTCTTGGAATATAGCAGAAATTTGTTTTGCATGTTTACATATTTGTAATGGATTTTATTTTTCTTGCTTTCTCAATGAATGAAGGAGAGAAGAACTGAAAATAAAGTTGAATTAAAAAAAGAAAATCATATAACTATTCTGACTGGGTCCACTACAAATTTCTGTTACATAGTCTCACCATCTTCCTTTCTTCACTGACTCTTCAATACCTTTTCATCCTTCCTCAAACTTCCTATGGCTCCCTAACCCTCTCAGCTGAAAATTCTGTCTCATATTTTACAGAAAAAAATCAGGCTATTTGTCTAAGCTCCCTCTTGTCCCCTTTTTCTCATCTCATATCACACAGATGTCTTCTGTCACTATCTCCTCCTTTACCCCTGTCTCACATGAAGAGGTTGCTTTACTCCTTAGCAAGGTAAACTCCTCAATCCATTAATTGGTTAGTTGTAGTCCTTCATTCTTGAAGAGGATAAAAATAACATCATTATGTTGGAGTCAAAATACAGTGTGTCCAACCGTAGCTGATCAGACCAGTATAAGCTCAGAAGGCTCTACCATAGGTCAGACACAAATAGTCATATGAACATTTGGAGTGGAGATGTCTCTAAATTTGCACATCTTGTATTTCTTTTGAAGTACTGTAATTCTGCTTTGCTTATAAAGCACAGTGCCTTCTTTGATGCAGGCAGACCATGCTGGGTGGTTCTTTGCCAGTGTCTCCCATGTCACACAACCAATTCTAAAGTTCCTCAGAGAGATTTTGAGAGTGTCCTTGCATCATTTCTTCTGACCTCTATGTGAATGGTTGCCTCATGTTAGTTGTCTGTAAAATAATCCATAAAATAATAAATAGTAAAATAGGTGAATGCATATGGCATTCAAACAATGTGGCCAGTCCATCAGAGTTGTGCTGTCTGTGGTAAAATTTGAATGCTTGACAGTTTAGCTTGAGAAAGGAACTCAGTGTATGGTACCTTATCTTGCCAGGTTATCTTCAAAATCTTCCTAAGACAATTCAAATGGAAGCTCTTCAGTTTCCTAGCATGTTGCTGATGTTTCACAGGCATACAACAATAAGGTCAGTACAATACCACTGTAGACCTTTAGTTTGGTAGGCAATCTAATACCTCTTCTCTCCCATGTTTTCCTTCAGAGAATCCCAAACACTGAGCCTAACAAGGTTTTCTGACTCCAGGCCCAACCTTACGTCCACCTTATTACCTAGTTGCCTCAGAAAAATCCTTAATTGCATTCCAAAATGTAAGTGTTAGGTTAGTTTGTGTGCCCTGTCAGAGCATAGGGGCTGGTAAGGGAGGGATTCTGGGTAAATGCCTTGTGTTTTGGAATTCTCCATTGTTAATACATAAAGGTATTATCTTGTTGGCCTTTTCGCTTTATTATCTTTTGGAAACAACTCTATTATGTACTCTATTACGGGGGCACAATTCTTTTTGTTTGTTGACAGTATCAGGGAAGGATAAAATTTTTAGTCCTCTAGCTTGTTGGTTTTGTGGTACAGAAATCCTTTATTGGATTTTAAAACCATGAACTTGTTTTAGATTTAGCTAACAAAAAACGACAATGATACCTGTAAGAGAAGAATATTAATTTGGTTCTTCTTGTCATTCGACTAGAATTTCATTTGATTCAGTGTCCCAAAGAAATTTTATTTTGACTTTATATTTTTATGTAATTTACTTTAGGAATGTTAATAGCATGAGTATTTTGCAGAAAATAAAACATCTCCCTTCCTAGATGTACTTTTCCTGTTTTGTATTATGATACTTAAAGAAATTATAGCGTTCATAATCATGCCACACAAGGTGGCAGCACATGACAACTTTATGACTTTTAATATCAAGTTCAAACATAGCACTGTGGATTTCACGTGTAAGACGTAAACTGCCTCAGAGAGATCACTTCTCTCTAAATATCCTCAGTAATACCACACCAGAGTGTTCATGCTTTGATGCCATTCAGCTGTGAGAGGGCTCAGGATTGTTTGCTCTATGAGTGCTGATCAAATCATCTATGCACAGCTTTATAACAGCTGGCCATGGTGCTGATAAAAACAGGGCCTAATACTTTCACCCTGAAGGCACAACACAGAAATTTGCATATGAAAGGATAGTGAACATTGGTTGAATTAAATAATAGGACCTCAGAAATAATTATGGTCACATAAAATTGTAAGTAGAGAGAACCATTTCTCTTTCCATCAATGTCATGAAGTTATCAATCAATCAGTGTTGGGCTATCCAGCAATGGAATTACGTGGTTACTATGCTGTACTGGCTGATCTGATGTTGATTATCAGCTGATTCAGTTATTGATAGGGGATGTAAGATTCATTTTCTGCTTTTCTTTCTCCATTCTGTGATTCATGACAAGTTCTCAGAATTGCCTTAATGATAATTTCATTCTTCAAAAAGTAGAGGAACAAACAAGTGCATATTATATATTAGAACTGATTTACATTAACAGGAAGGAATTGATCAATGTGGTGAAAATGATGTGAACACTGGAGAAAAATGACCACTACCCCTTAGAGTTTGTGATGGAGAAGAAAGCTGGGTATAATTTCACATGAACATAAGATTTTGGGAAAAACAGATAGGAAAGGGCACCCAGAAAGGAAGAAAAACTCTTTTAAAAAAATGAAATTCTGAAGACATAAATGGAAATCACTCATTTGAGGAAAAGAATGAGAGTTATTGAAGAGACTTATGTGGATATATGAGCAAAAACCAACCAGTGTAGATTTGAAAAATCTAAGTTACAAAGATAAAAGCAAGGGAAGGTAGCAGAGGATACCATAAATTGGTCTTGTAAATATAGTTGTTAAAATTCAGGATGTACTGAAGCTTCTGAGAAAAGCCAAGGAGAACCAAAAGAAATTTTTATTCATATAAGGATAGGGATTATTGAATTGATTGATAATTTACCTCATCCTAGGTGATAAGATGTTATGTCCTGTAGGTGAGAATGTAAGTTCAGAAAGTCCTTGAAAGCTATTGGATGAAGTGGAGTAATGCTGCATGTGAAATGTGCTTGGATTAAGTGAAGAAATTTGGTCTTTTCCTGTGGAGTATCTATAAAGTAGCAGAGTAGTTTAAAAATGAGAGTTTGGAGCTAGTATTGAACCAGGGGAGAGTGTTCCAGCCAAATCCCCGAAAAGGAATTATTTGGATAGGAGGTATAGGGGAGAAGGAGAATGACTCAGCTTTAGCCTAGAGTGCTTCCTCTTTGGTTTGAAGATTTCAGCTTTTCACTGGCATCCCATAGCATCACAGAGTTAGCAGTGACCATCAGTGGTTTCTGTAAGAAAAACAGGATTATACTGCATGTGATAAAGAAAGACAGAATCAGGGCCCCATGAGGAGCCCAACAGAAAAGTTACAACATATCTAAGCTAACTTTCTCTTGGACTCTGTATGTATGGGCAGGAGAGTGTGTTACAGACATTTTTGGAGTGGGGGGAAGTTTTGTATTTGTATGCCACTGTAGTAATTACCTATTTCTAAAAGTTAATTAAATCTGGCTGACTAATTGATTTCACTGACAATCATGGCAGTGGGGAACACAGTAGTAGAATCTCATGAGATATAATTTTAGAAAACTAGCCTTACTTCTCAGGGATACCCCTAGAATCTGGAGGTGAGATATAGTAGCCCCCTTCCAGGGACCTGACTTACCAGTCTACAAAGAGGTTGGAGAATAGCTCCAGAGTGTGCACTTAGTTTTATTATGGAAAAGAGGACAGACACTCGAAGGGCTAGGACTATTCTTGGAATGAATGAGAGAATCTTAATAGTATTTAAGAATTATTTGTTTATATCCTTTTGACCACTTCTCTATTGGAGAATGGATTATGGCCTTGTTAACTGAGATCAAAACCTAGAACAGAAATAGTTAGAAAGAAGTTTATTAAGTCATTCAGCAGAGGGAAGATCCAAAAAAGGAGTGGCCCACTCCCTGCAAATGCACATTATATAGGATTCAAACAAAAGAACAAAGAAACAGTAATTGACTGGCCAGCATAGAGACAATTTGCAGATAAGACACTTGGGTTACTTGAGAAGTATAATGAGAGAAAACTCCTTATGTTCCTTCCATCAGTCTTTGAATCTTACTGTGTTTCTGGTCAGCATAACCTGAAGTCTTAAGTTAAGTATTAAACAAATCTGGTTTCTAAGCAACAGAATTGGTTTCTCAGCCATACAGGACTAGGTTTATACAATACCATAAAGTTTCTGCAGTCTCATATTTCTATATATTTTAGATATCAGGACTTTATTGGGGAAATTGATACAAAGATTTGCTTACAGCTAAATATTCCCTTCTTATTCTAGTTGTATTCATTTTGTTCATGGAAAAGCTTTCAATGTAATATAATCAAAATTATGTATTTAATCTTTTGTGAACATCTCTATTTCAGATTTGGTTAATAATTCATCCCCCTCCCCCAGCATAGCCCTGAAAAATATATAATCTGCTTCTTTTCTAATTTTTATATCATATTTTCTTTAGTATTCAGGTCACATATCTTTGAATTTATTGTGATTCAAGATAGTTGTCTAAAATTAATTTATGCTAGATTGTTTTCCATGAAGTTATTTTTGAATGGCTAATTATGTCTTAGATGATTTATGCTTTTTGGCTTATTGGACACAGAGTTGCTGAGTTCATTATTTCTAGCTCTTCATTGTCTAGTCTGTTTCATCAGTCTATTTTTCTATTTTGAAAATTCCCAGGAATACTATGACCAAGTTCCAGAGCTTCCAGGTCAAGAAGAAAATATTGTAAACAGCTAGAAAGAAACAATTCAAATAATCTGGAGCCACAGCTTCTACATTAAAGCTTCTACTTTAAAGGATCAGAGGTCTCTGAATATGATATTCCAGAGGGCAAAGGAGTTAGGATTACAACCAAGAATCATTTATCCAGTAAAACTGAGCATAATCCTTGCGGGGAAAAAATGGACATCAAATGATACGTAGGACTGTCAAACATTCCTGATGAAAAGACCAGAGTTGAATAGAAAATTTGACTTTCAAATACAAGACTCAAAAGAAACATGGAAAGGTAAACAGGAAAGAGAAATCATAAGTTATTTAATAAGGTTAAACTGTTTACCTTCCCATACGGGAAGATGATACTTGTGACTCCTAAGAACTTTCTCTGTCTTAGGACAGTTAGAATTAGTATACAGAGACAGTGGGTACAGGTATGAGTTGAATGTGATGAAATGATCTCTAAAAAATAAAATTAAGGGGTAAGAAAGAAGAGTACACTGGGAGAAGTTTGAAGAAAGAGGTAGAATGAAGTAAATTACCTCATATAAAAGAGGCATGAAAGAACTTTTACAGTGGATGGGAAGATCCGGGAGTTAGGTAGAAGAGCTTGAACCTTACTTCTATTGGGATTGGCTCAAAGAGGGAATAACACACACACCCAAATGCGTATTGAAATTTATATTACCCTACAGAAAAGTAGGAAGGGAAAGGGATAAAAGAAAAGGAATGGCTGATAGAAGGAAGAATGGATTGAGGGAGACAGTAGTCGAAGGAAAACACTTGAGGATGGACAAGGTGAAAGGAGAGAGAGTAGGATTAATGGGAAAATAGGATGAAGGGAAATATAGTTAGTAATAGTAACTGTGAAAAAAATTTTACAAGAAGTTTCTCTGATAAATATCTATTTATCAAATATATAGAGAACTGAGTCAAATGCATAGAAATAAGTGCTATTCCTCCATTGATAAATGGTCCAAAGATGTGAACAGGCAGTTTTAGATGTAATCAAAACTACCTATAGTCATATGGAAAAAATGCTCTAAATCACTATTGATTAGAAAAATGCAAATTAAAACAACTCTGAGGTATCATCCCATACCTATCAGATTGACTAATATGACAAAAGGAAAATGGCAAACTTGGAGGGGATGTGGCGAAATTGAGACACTAATGCACCGTTGGTAGAGTTGTGAACCAATCCACCCATTCTGTAGAGCAATTTGGAGCTATGCCCAAAAGGCTATAAAACCATGCATACTCTTTGAACCAGCTATCACACTACTAGGTCTATACCTTAAAGAGATAAAAACAAAACCAAAAAAGGATCTATATATACAAAATTATTTACAGCAGCTCTAGTAGTGGTGGCAAAGAATTGGAAATTGAGGGGATATCCATCAGTTGAGGAATGGCTGACCAAGTTATGGTACATGATTTGGTGGAATACTATTATGCTATTATAAAAAATGATGAGCAGGATGATTTCAGAAAAGCCAGGAAAGATTCAAATGAACTGATACAAAGTGAAGTGAGCAGAACCAGGAGAATATTAACAGCAGTGTTGTATGATGATCAACTAAGAATGACTTAGCTATTCTCAGCAATACAATGATCCAAGACAATTGTGAAGGACTTATGATGAAAAGTGCTATCCACCTCTAGAGAAAGAACTAATGGAGTTATGAATGAAGATCAAAGCATAGTTTTTACTTTCTTTGTTTTTCATGGTTTTTTTTGGTCTGTATTTTCTTTTACAGTATGACTAATATGGAAATATATTTTACATGACTGCACATGTATGACCTATATCAAGTTGCTTGCCTTCTGAATGAGGAGGTAGAGGAGGGAGGGGAGGGAGGGAGAGAATTTATAACTCAAAATTTAACATAAAAAATCTTAAAAATTGTTTTTACATGTAATTGGGGGGAAATCATATGTTAAATAATATTTAAAATAAAAAGACAATTTTTTGTTTATAAGATTGGCCTTTCATCCACTGGAGAATGGATTTTTGTCATATATAATATGTATAATGTAATATGTATGAATAATATGTATGTATAATATCTATATATGTATAGGTATTGTTGTTGTTCACTGGCATCTGACTGGAATGGATTGCCATTTTCTTCTCCAGTGTGATTCCATTTTACAGATGAGGAACGGAGGTAAATGAGGGTTAAATAACTTGCCCAAAGTCACACCAATAGCAAGTGCCTGAAGCTAGATTTGAACTCAGATCTTCCTTACTCCAGGCCTGGTATTCTATCCACTGCAGCACCTAGCTGCCCCTAATATGTATATCATATTATTAGTTGTATATATACAAATAGACATAT